GATTTATATACTGTTAAAAAGTACATATCATTTGAGGTCGCTTTAAATGAAACATCAATGCTTCAGCACTTCATCACATTCAAATAAAACAGCTCAAATTATATATATACTGAGAAACAACGTGCAGCATGCCTTTTTACTACTAAGCACATGTCCTTGTTTGTCAGTCGGTACAGTTTCTGTACTGTTACAAATTCCATGATCTACATGACGGTACAACTGTTGCTAGAGGCCTGTCTCTGTCTTTGTCTCTGACGTAGTCTGTTGCGAGCCTCCATCTCGTTTTTCAGGGTTTTTATTGGTTCCAGGTAGTTATTTCTCAGCCAGGACATCTTAAATGTCATGATTTCGTTAACACTCCGGTTTCGTCCTGCAATCATGATACTACGGCTGACGACGAAGCGGTTTTGCACAGCGGTGATCTTGTAAAATGTATTGCTACTGTTACCACACATAGCGTCGTCATGGAAGAATCACTTGTTGATAAGTACGTCAGGAGACAGCATCAAGCATATCAGAAAGAGCTGGTCCGTCTCATCTGCCGATAAGGAAGCATAGTTTTGACAGTTCCTCAACCGATTTATATTGGAACCCGCGTCATTGCCGACCTCCAACACGGAACAGACAGAATTAAGATAGTACATCAGACGGGCTTTTGCGTTATTTGGGATAGACGCCGGTACACTCGTCTTCTCCACTTGCATTCGAAGACTTCTAAATGCTGCCATCTTTGTGTCCAATCAACTTCGATCCTGTTTGTAGTTATTTGCTTGCTATTGACTTTCACAAGACCTGATGCTAAATGGAAAGCGATTGCCGCTTGTGATTTTACTTACGTCCTCAGTAATGAAATGTAAAATTTTGACTGTGAAATTGAACGTACATGACACCCTTATATAGCAAATCTTGATATCTCCCGGAAAACCCTAGGTCATGACCTCAACATATGCATATCTGGGAACGTTATCAAAAATCAACACGTGAGTACATAGTAGCTAGATATTTAGGTACCAGGAAGTAACATTATCAGGTGAAACAACAATATACTAATAAATAACCTTCCGCTGCTCAATATTTATGGTTTTAATAAATCCGTATTTCACGTTTTCTTCACGTTTTCATGATTCTTTTGCGTCAGTGCAATATGATAAACAAACATTAGTAAAAAAAAAATAATACCCAATGGAACATTACAAAATTATGGATTGAAGGTGTGGTATTTAGGGGAGTATGCAGACAGAGCAAGGGATACAGTTGCTATTACATTCTTGGGCAGGAGGAACACAACCATGTACAGCAAGGAAACGCCCAGAAGTAATGTGGAAGTCAACGCTGTAGAAAATAATGCTAAGTGCTGTATAGAAGGATGGCATACCACCAACAACCACCCACTGGTGTACATATAACATACAATTACGTTATCTGATAAAAATACGAGGAAACTGTATCAAAGTAACTTCTACACAAGACAACCACGATCACTTAACCTACAAATGGGATATGACAAGGAGATAAATCAATACAATGTGGCCGATATTTTTTCATTTTTTTCATGTTCGACTGTCTAGTTTGGTTGGCAGGTTGCCAGGTGGCTAAGCGGGTAAACATTTCTGATATACATATGTACATCAGATACCTAGCTGTAACAAATTATCAAAATATCTTTTTCAATTAACAAACTCTAGTGATAATAGAATACAGATATTTTCCTAAAAGTTACCCTTGAGCGCGTATTCATTATTAAGGTTGTTGGTGGATGTGGTATCACTCTTGGTCCCCAGTTCCTCGTTTGTGTTTTCGAATCAACACCGAGTTTTAGTTTTACCTTTATACATTTATTGCCCTGGTGTGAGGGAGACCCTAAGAGATGTTTCCCCGATATAAATCATGTTTCCCGTGGGCGAAGCCCAAGAGAAACATAATTTGTCGAGGGGGAACAACTCTTCAGGTCTCCATCACACCAGAACAATAACTGTTTTATTATTCCGAAATTCCATCTGTGGAGTCTGTGTTATATACGTATAACAAAAATACATCAACGTTAAGCAATGCAACGATCCCCTGTGTTGTCACTGTTGTGACTGACCTGTTCGCCTTTATTTCATTAGGTCTGGTAGTATATATATACTACAAATACTTATCACTTTCAGTGTTTTGATTTTACATCAAATTGAACAACAATTATAGCCCTTCAAGTTCTTCAGCTGTTGGGAGGTGGAATCTCCCGTTCGCAGTCATTGTTGATGTTTGGGTGTCGTCCGGAACACATCGGGCGTTAGAGAGTCTAACAAAGAGATATCACTCGTTCGATAATGTGCGAGGGGTTCCGAGAGGGATACTCGACAGGGAAAATGGATCGCGTGAGGGAGACTCGATGTTTTTTAATTCTGTCATGTGATGTGTTTAAACCAATCAGACACGCTGTAAAATCGATGAGGAATAATAATAGGTGTTGGCGCTGTGGTGTATTTTGCCCTTGGATTTTGAAACTAAAAAAATCACGAATTCTTTCGATTTTCTATCCAAACGTGTCTCCTTCCATCGTTAAAATCTACAAATGTTTTAGAATCTTCAGTTAAGGAACTGGACGAAGATGACGCAATTTCCATTTTACATGGTTTCTGCAACAACCTAGTCTATATGTCCCGTGTCGTGCGGTAAACAATGGGCTGACGGCTGGTCTACAAGCATGAAGGTTTGCTAGATGTCATCGATTTCTGTAAGTTTAAGTTGAAATCCGCCAACTTAGATGATTTTTCTAGTTGGTATTCAGCTCTACAGCAAAAGAAAACCTATTCCTCTTAGCCTGTAGAATGATTGTGCGGTCCTGACAGATTGTCGTAAATCTTGGCCTACAATTTGTTGGTGTTTTGCAGACAGAATCACTTGCCTAAGAGCGTTGCCACACTCTTCCAATTACACTTTGACTGACAATACAATTTCGGGCCACATGCCAGTTTGAAGCATTCCTTTGGCACTAACAGTCTGCTGCACGTTCAGGTGCCGCCTTTGAGGCATTTTGTCAATCATAGTCCTAATTCATTAGAGGGATTCACGTCATTTACCAGTAGTGTTTGATGAACATAATATCCAGGTCTCATTTTATAATGTTCGGTACATATACAAACTGAGTGCGCTGACTGCCTTTTGTGATGTAGATACAATGTTGCACGTGCACATAAAGATGAAAACAGTTATTTTTAGAACAAATAGCAAGCAATTTATTCCCGGCGAATTTTCTTCATTCCTGAAATATGACCCTTAATTTTTTTTCCTGAGTATATTTTGCCCGTATACTGAGGCTGTGACGTATATTTTGCTTGTGCTTTGAACCTCTGATGTTTATGTAACTAAATATTGATAATGATTATACTGTGTGTGTTGATACTGGTAATAGTTTGCCCATGCATGTTGATGCTGTGGTATATCATTTTCTTGGTTTGTTTAATATTGTGTATTAACAATAATATCCTCCTGTCCTGAACTGAGTCTGTGGCATATAATGGCATATTTGCGGCCTATTGACACCGCTTGCCTAGTTGTACTTGTATGTTGATATTGGTTATATTTTGCCCATGTTGATGCAATGGTATATGTTGTCCTTATGTGTTGATATTTTCGTATGTCATTATATGTATATGTGTGTAGAAGACTGATAAATGTTCCTCGAGTATTCGACCTCTGTATTTTGTCGTTATGCTGAGGCAAATTTCGTCTTTGTGTTTGATTAGAAGCTGTAGTACATATGTTTACTTGCATATTGTCGCTGTGGACTTCTCTAGTCAATATCAAAATACATGAGTCACCAGATATCTGTTCATTGAAATCTTTTTAAGAATAGTTTAAACATATTGTATTGCCATACAAAAGAAAAAATGGATATGGCACAAGTTATAATACCATTGTCAACGCCCCCTCCATTTTAAAGTACAAATATGTGGTGTAATAACGGCTTATATCTAATCACGATGGATTTGGCAAAGTGCCAGACTGTAAAAACGCTCAAAACTATTGTATCTATTTTATGACGATACCTGGAACTTCTACGTAGCACGTTATTTTGAAGATCTCGAAACAGAGCGCTTAAGAAAGGGATTGCATTCTTAAAACCACTTATCTAGTACTAGGATTGAGTATATAACTATGGGAATGGTATTGTAACGTCAGTGACCCCTGCACAGTGTCTGCACACCGACACCTCATTACCCATGGTGTCCTGGTATGCACTGACATGCACTAGTCACATCTCTTTTGATTTTTTCCCTGATTGAAACCCTATGTAGTATTTCCTGTTTGGTTACAGCCATTACAATCACTACTGGTGTTAAGAAACCTTTTTTTACTATACAAGCTTGCAGTCTTGACCGGATGTGTTGAGAGCAATTAGGATTTTGGCATAAAAACCTGTATTTAGTATGCGTTTTTCGTCTTTTATTCTACAGAATGCGTGTGGTAGATACTGCTTCGTTGCGTGTCGTTTCAGTGCAGTAAAATGACAAACGCTAGTGAATTAAAAAAGCCACAGAATTGGGAATAACATTGTTTTATGATAAATACGTCAGGCAGATGTACAATCTGTGTTGAAAATGCTGTTAAAAGTTGAAAACGAAGTTATGGTGCATGGATAGAAAACGTCGAACTTCATACGAGCCAAAATTATTTCTTCGTCTACATTTCTTTTACTGTATTCACGCTTTCCCCATGCCTTTTTGTTTTAAAAGCATTCGAAATCTAACAAAAAAATCCTGAGTTTTGATTAATTTTTTTTTTTATTTTTTTCGTTTATTGATGTTAAAAATATCACAAATATATCAGCATATACATTTAATCTGAAATAACTTGACAAGGTAAAAACGAAAATGACAAGGCAAAAAGTAATTGTTCTTTAATAAACATCATACTTAGTAAACAAGGTGGGAAATATGACAAAATTTTCTTTCGTGACGTTAAATAATCTTCCTATGACACTACAAATGACTTCAGTAAATTGCGAAATGAATTACATTTATTACAAAATATGGTTTGGAGGGTTGATATTTAAAACCTTTTCATTCGTAAATAATTATATGCAGTTTGAACGAGAACATACTGTTGTTATCAGATACGTTGCTTAGTTACCTAAGTGGCCTACCTGAATTTGTTTTGGCAGGTAACTTGATGGCTTACCGGGTAAACAAATTGTTGGTCTATGTGCGTCATGAGTAACCTAGTTCACAGAACAGCCAACTATAAAGAAGATCTCTTACCGCTTTCATTTTATTATTGTAGGTACATATACAGAATAACGCAGTGACAAAGTAGATGTGAGCAAATATACTGGAGAACACAGAGAAGCTGCTGTCGACTGCTACAGCACCTAGTCCATTGTCTTCCCTCAATGGCATGCGCGTGCTCAGCATGTGGTGGGTCATTCTCGGACACACTTTTGACCATCTCATACAACTTTAAATAACATAACAAATATGTCGACACCAGATAAATTACTCTTAAAGTAGTATTTCATGGATACAGTGGAAGCATTAACTTCAGCTATAAGGTTACAGCCAATCTCGGGGACTGAGACCAGCAACGTCATCCAGAATTTACAGTGATAGTCCAAATCTGTCAGAGTACATACTAGTAATAAATTCTAGCCTTTTTGAGACTGAAACTTGAATGTAGCAACTTATTGTAAGCGAAACCAATTTCAACATATGTTCCATAATAGTCAAATACGTAGACTAATATATGATATTATGCCTCATATCATGAAACAGTACACTACGATACATACATATATTATAATAAGAAAGGGACAATTATCTAAGAATGGCTTTTTTTATAATCTAACACGTGTCATCTGTGAAAAGTTTTCATAACTGAAATCTCCTTAACCCGAAATTTAGTTGATTGAGGGTGTGTTAGATGTACAGACATCAGCGTATCCTACTTTGAGGGTTGTTAAATCAATATGGATAAGAAGTGAGCATTTTCTCTTGCAATAAATCAAACCGGTCGGTTTCTGTTTTAATAGACCGGTTTTAATTCGTCTGTGGCTCCTTCACAAGAGTTCAGTAAGAGTAGTGCATATGAATGTTGTAGAATATAATTATTTTAACTTCTGAATGTATTTAAAAGCTGCCATCGCAAAGTGTTCGAACATTTGAATGCTACATGTACTGAGCAATCTCAATCATTGAGTGAACAAAAATGTCGGGCATTGTAAACTAACTTTGAACCCGCCTTAACAAAGTGTATGTACGTTTCAAGCATAATGTATTGTGAAATCAACATCAATACGTTTGAATAAATAAATGTATTTTTTAAAAATAGCCACAAAAAGCGACTGAACGTGTAAACACTAAATGTACTGATATGACCTCATCATTAAAAGTATGTATGGTTTTTAATTATTTAATATATATAGAAGTCACCATGGACAAGTCATCATCATCAAGTATATGAACGTTTGAAATGTTGAATGTATTTATAAGTTGTCTCCATTATGCGTATGAACTTTTGCCACGGGAGCAAGTTTAATGTGTGATTGTGACTACGTTTGTGTGTACCGGAGTTATCTTCCTTCCTATAATCAGTTGATATGAGACATCAAATTATGTTTATAAATAAATTATAAACAACGCTTATTTCTTGATTTGTAAATCTAGACGCAACACAAACTGATCATTTATTTGGTTACCATGGGTGAGGGTTGCATTTTATCAATGGAATTGATGACTGTCGTCAGAGTTTATAATTGGAAACGAAGCAGGATGTAGGTTGCAACATAGTAAAAGACTATATAATATTTTCCCTTTCAAAAGGGAAAAAAAATTATCACTATATTCAAATTATTCTCTTTGGAAAGGCGCAAAATTTCATTTACAATATTCAATATACCAATTATTCCCCTTGGAAAAGCGCATGACACCATTCACCTTGTGTAAATTATTCTCTTGGGAGTGGGCAATTATCAGTATGAGTATAACGAGTATTGCTCTTGAAATCTATTTAAATGTCAGTATGTATGAGTTTTCCACAATGTTAAAATTATTCTCTCCTTGAGAAGGGGAAAGACTGAATGCGCTTTATTCCAATTGTTCCCATTAGAAATAGGCAAGACTACATTCACAAGTTTTCAATAAATTTTAACTTAGCGACTCGGAAATGCTGCATTCGTCGCAATCTTTTGATTTTTTGGGGAAGTGCAGAGACTGTTCAGTAAATGCAAATTAGAAATACTTTATTTGGATGATTCAGACGGGTTTCGTGGGATCGGTGTAATCTAGATCTGGCGACTCCGACGGCTGCCTTTGGGATTCCGTAATACCACGGTCAGACGATTCCGATGGCAGCCTTTGGGATTCCGTAATACCACGGTCAGACGATTCCGACGGCTCCCTTTCGGACTTGGAAATACCGCGGTCAGATGATTCCGATGGATGCCTTTTGGATTCCGTAATACCACGGTCAGACGATTCCGATGGATGCCTTTGGGATTCCGTAATACCACGGTCAGACGATTCCGATGGCTGCCTTTGGAATTCAGTAATACCACTGTCAGACGATTCTGACGGCTCCATTTCGGACTTGGTAATACCGCGGTCAGACGATTCCGACGGCTCCCTTTGGGACTTGGTAATACCGCAGTCAGATGATTTTGATGGCTCCCTTTCGGTGTTGGTAATACCGCGGTCAGGAGATTCCGATTGCTGCGTTTGGGTGTTGATACTACAGCCGTCAGAAGAGTACGATTGCTGTGTTTGCGATTTACCCATACAGAGGGAGAATACTCTGGTGTTCATCTGGGCATCGCTTTGACTATGTGAATACACACGGTACCTATTTTGACATAACTTGCAGTGCTTACTTATAATTCGCGTCCGTTATCATTCCAATTCCAGCACTCTCCTTTTTCAGTTGAATATATAGCCATGCATTCTGAAATTCGTTGACCGATATTCATTTCAGTGTCTGGCATTTCTGACAATTCCTTTTCTAAACATGAATACGCGATTTGTCTCTGATGCGTACCACCTAGAACCAAGCAATGACGTAACGTGCATATCTTATGAGTGGTGCCAATGGTTTTGCAATTGGGATGTTTAGCTATTGCAATATCGAAGAATCTTCTTGCATTCAACTCGTCATTCATTGCTAGGTAACAATGCGCTATGGCATTAACAGCCTTGAGGTTCACTGGGTGTTCAGGTGTACACTGTTCCAGCATGTTTAATGCTTGTTGGTTGTACTCTAAAGCCAGGGAGAAGTTTCCTCTGCAAAGAACAACATGCCAGCATACACCTTTCAATTCTATAATTATGTCTTTGATCATGTTCCTTATCATCCTCGATACTCCAAGGGTTATGCTCACTTTCACTCTCTACACCCCTGGAATGTGCCATTGTAAAATTGAAGGCACGCAACTTGCTATTTGTTGGTCGCAGGACAAAAACTGACCAATCGCTAAGGCCTATACCTGTCCTTTGAAGATTACAGAGAAGCCACCACCGGCTTCAAAGCCAGTCAATTTGACCTTTACGCGACCGACAGCTTCTTTTGATGTACAACAAATGATCAATCAAGTCTTCTTGTCTCATGCACAAGATGGGACACACTAACCATTTGATTTAGCTTTAACATATTCCAGGGATGTTGAAAGCGAAAGTGAGTGTACCCCTTGGAGTATCGAGGATGGTTGCGTAAATATCAATTAATTAATTTAGTTTGTTTTTCCTTTTTGAATAAAAAAGGAAAATAACGGGTTTGCATTGCATTATGAATTGTACTTACATATAATCATATTCTTGATACATTAAACCTTTGGTTATTTACCACCATGATGGATTTCATTATAGAAATATTTCTCACATTTGCATGTAGACTAATGCGATGTAATAGAGTGTCACTCCTGTGAAATGGTCCACCCAGCCATACTGTTTACGGAGTTCAATGGCCTCTTCAAGGGTTTTAAGGGCAGCGTCTGAAGCAAGGAAAACCTCAATCAAATTGTTCTATAAGAGAATAGCAACACGTATGTCAGTCATACACTTAGATAGATAAACTTATTAATTCAAATCATCGCTTGGATAAATATGTCCATTCGGAACATTAAGGGTTTTAGATGGCAAAGGTTCTGTCTATATTGATACAATGACACAATATTGAAGTTTTGTTTTGGTACATTATTTTGTATTGAAGATTACATCTGAATTATATACAGGTAGATCTTTGATTCAATTTAAATGTCATTAATATAAATACGTTTTCAGTTATAAATTAACTTATACATATAAAGTTCTCTTACACAATGAGCCGTTAATTAATTTTATATTGGTATGAAACACGGTCAGTATACACGTACGTTATTTTTTCGTTATATCCTACTTTATCATACAATGGCATTAATACAAGGGAGAGAAATACCGTAGTGGGCAAAATATGATGAAGGCAGTGGCTGCAGATCTTCCAAAACACTAGTTGAAGATTGACAATAGTTTTCAAAGTTTTCAAAATAGACATGATATACTTAGTTTAATGTTGGTCTATATTGGCAGTGGCCATATCTTTAGGACCGCAATAAGTGATATAAATCAGTAACATAAATTTTACATTAACCAACTTTCTGGCTGTTTTACTGGTTGGGTACAACGGCGCATATGGGTAATAATCTTGCATTTGGGTAACAGTTACCCTTTTGAGCAACAACAATTGTATTACTGGAATAAGAGTGAAATAAAAACACAAGTTCTTCTAAACGCCAGGAGCAAAAAAAGAATTATTCTTTCAGCAAAATCCAATAATTTACACCATGAAGTTCATTTGTACACAAACATTTGTCAATTCTGACGTCTAACTATTTGTGAAAATGGCAAACCATATCAGTGATTTTATTATACACTGACTTCAGTATGTATTCAATATGATCATCCAGTGCAAATGTGACAAGTGAGTATGATTTTATCTGTGGGCTATTTATGTGGGCTTCTCAACAACACACTATAAGCAATGGAAGTGATGCAATTGTATCATTGTATCATTATATCATTGTATCATTGTATCATTGTATTGTATCATTGTATCATTGTATTGTATCATTGTATCATTGTATCATTGTATTGTATCATTGTATTGTATCATTGTATCATTGTATTGTATCATTGTATCATTGTATTGTATCATTGTATTGTAACATTGTAACATTGTTTCATTGTATCATTGTATTGTATCATTGTATCATTGTATTGTGTCATTGTATCATTGTATTTTATCATTGTATCATTGTATCATTTGTCGGATTATGTTAAAAGGATGACGTCCTTTTCTGTTGATAATGTTAAAAAAATGTGTTTTCATTTCACTTTATTCCCCATTTCAATTATGAATTGTTTCTCGAAACGGAACTGTTACCCAAATGCAGGATTCTTACCAATAATAAACAAAGAAATGGAAATAGCGAGTATCAACTTACTGCAGTTTCCTGACCGAACAAATTGTAATGAAACATTGAGGAGTGCTGGACAAAGGGTCTCCGCTCTGAAGTAGGAATGCTTTCTTCTCTCATCAAGGGACCATTTGTAATATCGCATGGCGTTGATCTGACTCCGCCCAGCTATTGTATCATAATTAAAAGGATGTCAATTACCTTTGTTTAGATAGTGTAAAGTATGCATGTTATATTATTTAAACTATTTCTCTTTACTTATTATTTTCATTAAGTTTTAGCAGCACGTCACTTGTCGACGGTACAAGTTGAATGGGCTTCAGCCTCTTGTAGTGGGAGTAGATTGTATTTACTTTGGTTATCAATATCTATTTTTGTCGAATATTGACAAATTATTAATCAAAATATTAGTGTTGTGAGGTTGAATATACATTAACGTACTCGTGAATTGATCTATACTTTTGCCGGAATCTGGAACTATCGTTCCACCAGATTCGTCATAGAAGTAACAATACAACATCTGACCTCTTATAACCCGATCTGATAAATATAAATATATATGTATATCTATAAATAGGATATTACATGAGTTTCCATTTCATATGAGATTTATGAATTCGTGACGAGTTTCATAAATTTCATATGAAATGAAAACGAGTGTAAGATCATTTTATCACATAATCAAGATTTGTGGCATTTATTCGTGCAAAACGACAATTTTCATGCAACCTTGAAATGTAAAAAGCCGCCATATTGACTACAGTGCGTATGTCTGTGACGTCATGTACTTGTCCTAGGCGTGACGTCACAATTCAAACAACTGAAACTTACACCCAATCACAGGGCTGATAGGTCATATTACATGTGTTAATACGCAAAAAAATATGACATGGGTAAACTCACTGGATAATACAGTATATTGTGTGACAAAAATAAGTATAAGCCTTGACGTACAATTTTCCAACATTAGGCCCATCGTATTCAGCATTACTGCGATAGCAGGGTGATGCGGAGTGTCACGACAAGCTATCTGCATCGCTCGATCTACAGTTCTTTCTGTATTGCTATGCTTTTCTAGAATAGAATGAACACATATCAGTTCAATGAAAGAAACAAATGGAAGTTATTATAAACCAAATGAAACGTCTTAATATATTGCAAACATGTGCAACAAAATTTGTTTTGATTTATCATAAACAATACACATAGAAGATGAACGTTACAACTATATATTTATCGTTTAGTATCTGGAAGAAAAGGGATTTGGTTTGGTTTGGTTTTATTTTCTTAAACGTCCTATTAACAGCTTATGTCATTTGAGGACGCGGGAAGAACAGGGAAACAGCGTTAATGGAGTATACTACCACTTATAATATTGCCTGAGGTTTGACTTATATTCGTCGGTGACTGTAATACGCATGTATGAACTGTGCAAGACGTTTTAATTCTCACCTAAATATACTTCAGATATCGCCAGGTGGGACAGCAGAGTTACTTCTCTTCTTGTAATCACTGCATTTCGCTCCAAACAAGAAAGCATTTCCAGTGCCTTAAGCAGCAACCTATATCAAACATTGAAGGTTTTTGATATGAGTTTGTCAGCCATTGGTATATTATTATTATTATGAAATTGATTATTAATATTTGTATAGTACTAGTACAGTGAATCATAATAATATTCCCATTTCACTATTTGTTATGTTATTGTTACTTAACTGGTTTTAACATTTATATGTTAATAGTATTGGCCTGCAACTCCTAAATCATCTGCGTTCTTTCAAAGCTTGTGCTAAAAACGTTGCTAAATCAGCATATATATATTACATACATGCAGTACACTTGAACTCTGTTAAAATTAATTTTAGTAGTGTTTCAATTGAAATGTTACAAACTGAGAATGTTACACGAGTTTCAATTAGATATTCTCTCTACGAAACGAGTCTAAAGAATTCATTTTGGAAAATGAAAAAGAGAGAGAAAAAAGAATATATAACGACATTTTCATAATGGTTTCTTCTGACAGGTAACAGGAACAGCTACAATCAAAGTAGAAATCATAAGTTAAACTTCGATATAAAAAACACTCACGGAACTCTAATTTAAAGATCAAACTTGCCTGCGTCCTTTGTGAGCTTTGCCCCTCCTGTTGTAGGTCATTCCCATCAGGCCAATTACTGCCGCTAAGTGATAGGAGGGACCACCGATATGCAAGATTGCGTAAGCGGCCTTGCACTGTTCTAAAATCTCATTCTGCTTCAGTTTACCTGAAAACGAAGTTAACGTTGCTGAGATTAAAGCTGAACCGATTTACTTGACTTGTTAAAGTTTTTTTGATGTACTAATTTATTGCAAAATACATTTTCATTGCGTCATTGAAGTTAAATATGAACTAAGAATATCTTAGTTATTGCAATACGGTCGTAACTTTTCGTGATGGTTTTGCTGCTTTGTGCCAGGAGCCAGAGAATGAGCGCTGTATCCCTTTTGGTTCCGAACACCGAGGCAGCATCCATCAGGCTGCTGTAGAAAAAGTGCACCTCCCGACTGGAGAAACACACGCTAAACAGTTCCTCGGCCGCCACGACTGCCTGAAATCAGACAAGTAGTAACTAAACCGGGAAAAAAACGGAAGCATGTTATTCCTTTTATCATATAATCATATGACATTGTAATATCGTATGTATATGAATAGCCTCATGAACCCATACACAATCGAAAGCGCTAGAAAGTCTAGTTTGTTTATTTATCTCTATTTACCGATCACAGAGACATGTTTATTTTTTTTTTCCTCAACAGTTTATTGCAAAAGAATATGTTGTGGAGATTTCAAAATTTTCTATACCATGAAAATTAACCTACTCTTTCGTTGTTATAAAATCTGAAGAATATACCGATAAACAGTTTATACCTCCATGTTGAGACCCCATATATGTAAAACATGAGATTAAATTGAGCGTCAAAGTGACATAATGGCGATATTCTTTTCCATTCTGAGACTCCGTGTCTAAAAATAGTACATTCATAAAATCAGTTTACCTTTATGTTTCCCTGTTTACTCTTTATATACCAGAACAACAACAAACACTAGCTCTAACTTCTCAAGGCTTGATATAAAATATTTTCATATACTAAAAGACAGATTTCGCACCAGCTGCACTTGATCCATTAAGTCCGAATTAAGATCATTTAACAATGTTTCGGTCCTTCTGGCAAAAAATAATGGAATGACAATGTCAAGGAAAATACAACATTATAAAATATTTTCCCTTATTTTTCCTTTTTTATCAAGTTATAAATTGATAAAACAAGTTACAAGTGCACCTCCCGACTGGAGAAACACACGCTAAACAGTTCCTCGGCCGCCACGACTGCCTGAAATCAGACAAGTAGTAACTAAACCGGGAAAAAAACGGAAGCATGTTATTCCTTTTATCATATAATCATATGACATTGTAATATCGTATGTATATGAATAGCCTCATGAACCCATACACAATCGGAAGCGCTAGAAAGTCTAGTTTGTTTATTTATCTCTATTTACCGATCACAGAGACATGTTTATTTTTTTTTCCTCAACAGTTTATTGCAAAAGAATATGTTGTGGAGATTTCAAAATTTTCTATACCATGAAAATTAACCTACTCTTTCGTTGTTATAAAATCTGAAGAATATACCGATAAAGAGTTTATACCTCCATGTTGAGACCCCATATATGTAAAACATGAGATTAAATTGAGCGTCAAAGTGACATAATGGCGATATTCTTTTCCATTCTGAGACTCCGTGTCTAAAAATAGTACATTCATAAAATCAGTTTACCTTTATGTTTCCCTGTTTACTCTTTATATACCAGAACAACAACAAACACTAGCTCTAACTTCTCAAGGCTTGATATAAAATATTTTCATATACTAAAAGACAGATTTCGCACCAGCTACACTTGATCCATTAAGTCCGAATTAAGATCATTTAACAATGTTTCGGTCCTTCTGGCAAAAAATAATGGAATGACAATGTCAAGGAAAATACAACATTATAAAATATTTTCCCTTATTTTTCCTTTTTTATCAAGTTATAAATTGATAAAACAAGTTATTTCGCCCGTTTTTCTTCGAGAAAAACCGGCTTTTCGTACGACAAAAATATAAGATACTAATAAAAAGATTTTTTTTTTTAATTCTTTATGTTGATAAATTCGCTTATTGACATAGTTTACATCGTGCATTTGCATCAACTGTTAAATGAAATAATGAATGTACTCCTTACCGCAATGAGTAAATTATTTCCATAAATCAATACAGCTTCTTTGTTACATGTAACTAGTGTAATTGTTGCCTTGTCAACAATGATAATTATTTCTAGTTTGCATTTCACGAACCTGCATAAGAAGTGGAAACATTTCCTGTGTACAATGTATCGTCTGCTGCATCAACTGGCGGACATTATCGAAGTATCCATGGAGATAACTTAGCACCCCTTCCCGCCCGTGTACGTACACCCTTTGGTCAACATCATGTAGAGTCCGACAGAAGAATTTCACAAACTGCAAACGGGCCGGATATAACTCGGCTACATCATGTACTTCTTCTGTAAGAAACTCGTGTAGAAATGCGGGTATTTCATATCTGTCAGAATTCGTACTTCTGGACACCAAAGAATGATCACACAACTCAACTAACGATGCACAAGCACTGCCCCCAGCCTCTCCAAGTGGTGAAATTATCTCCTTTGCAGCAGATTTGGAAAAGGACCCTTGAAAAAGCGTTAATAGCACAGCCCCTTTCTTCACGCTTTCCGACATTCGGTCGAAGAAGTTTTGCAGTTTCTGTTTATGAAACGATATGATTTTCATCAGTGATCCAGGGGTCTGTAATATGATGACAAGATCTTCAATGCCAACCACTCGTTGAGGGTGGTTCAACAACAAGGCGGCTTCCATTATTATTCCAGGCAAGTACCAACATCCACGAACAATATCATGGGCGAATGCTGTCAAATCAACGGTACATTCTTGTGCTACAATTTGAAGTAAGATGACCCCCTCTAATTCTGACAAACCTGCTAAGAATGTGGCACGCGCTGGTACTGAAGATAGATATGTTATTCTCATTTGACTTGATACTAAGAGAAAAATATTTCCTGACAATCTGAGAATCTTCTGGCAAAAGTTTATGAATCGGTTCTGCAACACTGATGTATGTACAAGACTGTCTACCTTTGTAAATACTAACAAGAACTGACATGATTGGTTGGCGTTCGCCATCAGTCTGAGGTGAGTGATAACGCTATGTTCAGTGTCTTCATGTGTGAGTGGAGCTCCTGAACGTTCCAATCCGTCAAACACTCCCCTGACGTATTTATACACTTCAGTGGCATCTGCTTCTCTTCATATTCTGCTACAAGCTCGTTCTGGATCTACAACAAATGGTAGATATTAATGAGGATGTAAATTGGCGAGAAGAAGAAAAGGGGAAGAAGAAGAAGAAACAAACAAACTAAACAAAACAATTAGGAAGACTTATAACAAGTATAAAAGTGGACAAAAAAGGGAGGGAAAATATCTTGAACCCCATATACAAACTGCAGGAGAAAACAGGTTCATGATGACCACCATGACGTGTCAAACCCTTAGTGAAGTCTCTCTAAAGGTTTCCCATGAAAATATCATGACAAAATCGAAGGCACCCGGTAACTTATTTAATTGGTTCAGGTGAAAAAACTTTACCAATCGATAGACTGATTAGCTTTGAAGACATCCAACTTTAAAGCCAGCCAATAGCGTAACGGGCCGGGAGATTCTTTTGAAAAAAACACCTTTTCTATTAGTATTAACCACATGGCGGAGCGTACAGAGCATACGATTTCGTAATTACATATTCCAAAGTTGTTCAACCAAAAAACAACATTGGTATCTAGCAGAAGCACTAAAGTAGTAATGGACGAAGTAAATGGGCTATATGTGGCGTACCTGATTGGCCAGTCTCTGTTTTCCAGTAAATGGTGGTCCATAGATCTGAACAAGTCTCTGGCGACTCAACCGGCACCAAGCCTTGATCTCTTCAAGCTCTCGCCTCCTTCCTACAAACGGGATCCTCTCGTCTGCCTCATCAACGTTGTCATTATTTTCAGCAAACATCTTCATAAGATCAGATGATGTCTGCCAAGTACGTCTAATAATGGATACTGCTATGCATCGGGCATGTATTCCCTGTCCGTGGTCTTATTTAACACTATAGACTGTAACACACTCTATAATTCTTGCTGTGGTCCGTATTACATTAATGATATATTATAGATTGTAACACACCATGTACTATTATCATAAATTGTATCACAACATGTATTCTTGTCTGCGGTCAGTGATACACTAATATTATAAATTGTAACTCGTCTATGGTCGGTGATACACTGATATTATAGATTGTAACATACCATGTACTCCTGTCTGTGGTCGGTGATATACTCATATGGTAGATTGTAACATACCATGTACTCCTGTCTGTGGTCGGTGATATTCTCATATGGTAGATTGTAACACACCATGTACTATTATCATAAATTGTATCACAACATGTATTCTTGTCTGCGGTCAGTGATACACTAATATTATAGATTGTAACTCACCATATGCTCCTGTCTATGGTCGGTGATACACTGATATTATAGATTGTAACATACCATGTACTCCTGTCTGTGGTCGGTGATATACTCATATGGTAGATTGTAACATACTATGTACTCCTGTCTGTGGTCGGTGATATTCTTATATGGTAGATTGTAACATACCATGTACTCCTGTCTGTGGTCGGTGATATAATATTATAGATTGTAACATACCATGTACTTCTATCTGTGTTCGGCAATGCACTAAATTTGTAATATATTGTACATCATCATCTATTCCTGTCATTAAGTGACGTGAAGTTTAATCAAGCCCCGTGTTTACAACTGACTACAAGCTTGTGACGATTCCTGTATTGAACGTAACATAAAACTTCCCGTCGTAAGGAAAATATTTTGGTTTTACCAACAGACGAGTGTAACCGGAAGTAAAAACGATATGTCCGGAATAAGACCCACACATACATTGTAGCTACTGTCATATTTCTTACGGAGCCTCTAGAGCAAAATAGGCCTAGGCGCAAAAACAGACGACATGAAAGGCGCGTCAACCTGTTCATCTTTACTGTTGTGTTATTGTTATTTATTCCAGTGTGTATGGAAGAGCATTAGGGACTTGTGGAAAAAGAATTAATTTCGTCTTTTCGACTTACTAACTCGAAATTTCAAGATACTGACTGGAAATTTCGACTTACTTACTCGAAATTTCGACTTACTAACTCGAAATGTCGGCTGATCATCTGGAAATTTCGAGTTATTACGAAAAAAAGAGATTTTTTTCCTTTCTACATGGCCCTAATGTTCTTCCGTAGTTGTGTCATTGAATTAAATATACGATCAACGTGAGCGAAAGGTTTCCTGTTATTTGAAGATCCCCGTACCACTACCAAATACTGTAGCTAAATATTGGAAACTGTTTTTGAGTAAGAATATGGGCTTGATACATCATTTCTGAAGGAAAACCATACCTAACGGGACTTAAATGATAAAGAAAAAGATTTAATAAACAAAATATATGGTCAACAAGAAAGTTCTGATTTAAAAAACACAAGCTGGGCTAGACCAGGATTCGAACCCAGCACTTCAATTCTTATACTCTTGCTGAAATAGATTGAACTACCCGTTCAACGGAAGTGTACTAGCCCAAATGTGTTAAAGTTCTATCAAAACTGAAGTGATGGGGAGGTTACTGTATATAGAAATAAACGGCAGCGCAGTGGGACAGGGATCTTAAAGGAGACTTTCGAGTAGACATACCGTTCAGTAAAAATGAAACGCACAATTATATACATGTATATCCTTCCTTACCGCATTATATATTCTCTTCTGTACTGTATTGGTAAACTTAATACAACACTGAGATTCATTGAATACAGTTATGGCTTTCATGTTTAGCTTGTTGGTAAACAAACATCTGTTTAAAAATTGAATGAAACTGCATTTTATGCAAATATGAATTATATTACACCGTCGTTTCAATGTAAATATTAACCCTCAATTAACAGTGATAGTACCATAAAAAAAAGAAAACACAGCTTAAATGAAAATGTGTGCAATGTAATGTTAGTTTGCAGATATATCGTAATATCTATACAGTTTATTAATTTATTAGTTTGTCGATAGGATAAATAAGGCAGGGTTATTGAGATATATTTTATGTACAAGAGTGAAAAAGGTCAACATGTGACTATACGATGGCGAATATCAGCCAACAAACCATACAGTAAAGTAATCGAAACATGTACGTGTACATAGTACAAAATGACAAACTCTAACTCAGTTTTAGAATCAAATTCGTACATAGCAATTGTACAGCTTGGTAACGAAAGACTATATACATTAAGTCATTAACATTCCCGTAAAAAATAAAGTCGCAGGTTGACAAAAATACATTGGCAAACCAATCAACCATATCGATTGATATGACAAATCCTTCATTTGCATATTTTATTTCAATGCAAAGGTATACCATAGGCCAATACATATGATCAGGCACTTAAGTGTAGCCCTGAGAAAAATAATAAATAATATAAATAGATAAATGAATAAATAATTCAAAAACAATCAATAAAAAAAAATAATATCAGTTTCCGGACCGATATTCTTATGAATAAGTTTTTTTATTTATTAAGGCTAGGTTCAAGAGCCTGTGATATAAGTAATCAAAGACAATATATCGTATCCCTGTGACCAAACACTTTGTTTTGGATGTTTCTTTACTAATACAACGGCCAAAATGATCATGGTTAAGAAACAAGATAGGGGTAGAGAAATAGCCTCTGAAGTACAACCAAGTTCGACAAATTGTCCCTGTCATCTCATATAGGATGTTGCTATCTCATTGGAATATCTGTACTTCACATATCATCTTTTTTTAATGAATATGTTGGAAGAAGATATGTTAAATATTTATACAACGCAGACGAGTGTCACTTCAATCTATCATATCTTACATTTCAAGTGTACTTTTCTCTCTAATAATCGACATACTTTAAAACATGACTTGGTCTGTTTTGGCTTGATTTTGTCTGCTTGGTTTTTATTTCCGACCAAACCAGACCAGACCATATTTTATAGTATGTTATCTTGCTCCTCAAGTCTCATCTGCCAGGGTGTCGCAAGTCACACATATATATGGTACACAACGATATGCGAAAAACAAATATTTGTGTACCATACACAAATGTTCTTTCTTACCAGCTCCAGTCGGCCGTTGTATATATAGTTATCGATTGAAGTCAAATGCAGATGTAAGTGTAATAAAGGTATAGTGCTAAAAATTGAACCGTTTTGTACACATTCATAAGCATATCCATACTTATAAAATGATACAAATACACATTAAAACAGGATTCTTTAAAGAACAAATGATCTAGTAGATGCTGGGGACATGATACATTATCCTAACGTAAGTAAGGCAGTCACAAAACTCTCATTCTCTCTCCCTAACTATCTCTTGGTTTTTTATGATCTTTTAATTTGGTATAAGAGTGATTTTTAAAGGTTTTCATTTTTTTTTAAAAACAAAGAAGTGCTGATTTCCCTTAAGTTATTTTGTCAGCGTCATCTTATCTCTATGACTCGTGTAGGACAACAGCCAAACAATACAGCACTAAGATGAACATAACTTGATACTATTATTTCGCCACCCCCAAACTAACCCTCTCGTAAAGCTTTGTATGTTGGCAACAGCCATATCAGTGTGCTGTATTTACACATAACGTTAGAAGAACATGATGTTTTTAATCAAATTTTGTTAATAATTCCCTTATTTACTTAATGAATATCACTATAATTAATAGGTGATCAGTTTGATACAATATCTTGCATATGGATTTGCTGAAAATTCTATTTTGTATCAAACAGAAAGCTCAAATCACGCGTACAAGGCAAAACTTTGTACAATATTTAGGACATGCCTTCATCCCATTAGGGTTATGTCCTGGGAGGTTAAAAAACTTTTAACTTCGTCAACTGTTAACTGGATATAAGACAATTTTGATTGTTGATACTTGGGTATATCATATTTGATAGTAAATGTCGGTGTATTATATCTTGATATTAAATATTATGTACTTTCTGTATGTAATAAATGACAACTTCAATCCAGTTCTTTAGACAGGAGAAAACATTCCTTCATATCAGAGTAATGTCTATTTGGAACAATGATCTGGAGTCTCTTGGTAAACAGCAAAAATCATGCACTCATTGAAAAACAGGCTAGACAATGGTGGAAATCAGAAAACCTTCTATGAGGACTCTACTCATTAGGGAATAGACTACTATCTGTCCTTTTAAATTATTTCACAATTAATATATAATAAAGTTCATGTCCATACCAGGAGAGGGCTTGTTAAGGCATTACGCCTGTTGCCCAATTCCTTTTGAATTTGTATAAGATACAATATTCAATAAAAACTTTGTGAAATTAAAGTTCCACTATCTTGTACAATTAGTTTCGTACTTTAGAAACGTTTCATAACATGTACGTGTGTCGTACTGAGATATTGTTATGCTGCACAAAAACTGCAAACTACGGTGACCAGACGACGATAATCCAAAAAGCCGAATGAAACCTTCCAACGTTGAATTTTTGTCGTGAGTATAATTAATTGTTAGACAAATATGGCAGAATAGCTGCCCTATCGCCGACCTACAGACAAGCTTAACTGTTAGGGTCAGGGTGTCACCACATGAAGTAGAGAAGGTCCTTCCTTTATTTATGTGTGACACATGTATTTTAAACATTTTATTCTAACATTCAAACAACGTAAAAAGAGCATGACACGTAAAAAAACCGGATTTTTTTTTATTAACAGAACACAATACATCTCCAGCACACACACAGGCATACACACATAGGGAGATATTAGCAATGTGGCATAGGACTAGTAGTTAGTGCCTGATAAGGCAGCTTCTGCGAATTCCTCAATATTGTATTGATTAATATATATGCTAATTGTATTGACTGTATAAAATTGTATATCTATGTACTGTAAAGCGCTTTAGAGTGGCTTATGTTAGCTAGATAGGGCTCTATATCAAATGTTGCATATTTATTTATTTATTTATATATTAACTTTTCGTACTAGACTGGGGTATCTCGAACGTGTTGAAAATTGCCTTGAGTGGGGACAAATAAGCTTTATATTTCATAAGAACATTTCTTTATAACAAAAGTTTACAAAAGGCCAAACAATTTCACAATTAATGATATTTATTCAAAAGATATAACCTGACTTGTTTTTATGTAAATGTGCCCATTGACAATTTAAATGAATAGAATGTGCACAACCTTGATTATTTATTTACAAATTAAATATGCATTACTAATGAAAATAGTAACAAAAACAAGGGGAAATGATGCCTGTCCACATAAACAAGTATGCGAACCGTAACATCTGGATCGTGACGTCACATGAGTTAGTCCTACTTCAACTTTAATCTTTTCTCTATCGTCGTACCGAATATCATGACACGGGTGAGTGCGCATATAGTGCTGATAAAAACATGTTAAAAACAATAACATTTTTTTCCCCAGATGATTTTCCTTTGTTGCCTTTTCACACTGAGACAGTGGTCATCCATTATTTTGCTTTTTTGAACTGTCCGTACACGCCAGTTATCTGATTATTTATGATAATTAAAAACATAATAACAATGGTAGACTGTGAATATTATATTATATAGTGTAGTATGTAGTTTTATAAGATCACTCATTTTTAACTTCTCTAATAATACACATCGCTATTTATAATTAGCAGGGAATGATTTATAACGTCTATTTTAGAAATAAACATTTATCATCATTTAGTG